TCTGAATGTAAGATAGTCCTTGGACATGACTGGCTCACCTGCTACAATTCATTGATTGATTGGGTATTGAGCAGTCTAACTTTCCAGACATCTACAGGAGGAATGCCAACCCTATTAACACCCCCTGCCATGCTGGTTTTAACTGGCCTTCCCAAACCTGGTCTACCTGACCAACCCAACCCCAGCCCTGCACCATCTGTACTGTCTGTAGACTCACAAGTTTGCACCCCCCTGAAAGCTCCCCCTATCACCCTGATCAATGCAACTGTGTGTGTATGCACTTTCAGGCTAGAGGGATCTACCCAATTCCAACTTCATCTATGCCCACTGGACCCAGTCCTGGCCTGGTCTACCTCTACCAGTCCTCCACTGGACCTGGCTGGTGTACAAAAGGACTACCACAAATTTGCTGATGTCTTTAGCAAAGCCAAGGTGTCTACTCTCCCCCCACACTGGAAGTATGATCTTAAGATTGAGTTACTACACCACCCATTGGAACCATCTACTCACTATCCCCAGTCAAGCTGCAAGCTCTCTGGGCCTTCATTGATGAAAACCTGACTACTGGTTTCATCTGGCCCACTTCTTCCCCTTATGCTGCACCAGTCCTCTTCATAAAAAAGAAGGATCATTCACTCCAGTTATGTGTTGACTTCCAGGGCCTTAACAAACTCACCAAGAAAGACTGGTACCCCCTACCACTAATATCTGACCTACTAGACTCCCCTAGTCATGCCAAAATCTACACTAAAATCAACTTGAGGCATGTGTACCACCTTGTTCAGATTGCACCTGGCAATGAGTGGAAAACAGCCTTTGGAACATGCTATGGGTCTTATGAGTGGTTGGTGATGCCTTTTGGTCTTACCAATGCCCCAGCTGCCTTCCAGCAGTTCATCAATTCAATCTTTGTGGATATGCTAGATGTCTGCATCATCATCTACCTTGATGACATCTTAATCTATTCCAGAGATGAGTCTTCACATAAGGAGCATGTCTGGGAGGTTCTTCACTGGCTCCAGTTACATGGCCTGTATGCCAAACTGGAGAAGTGCAAATTCCACTCAGACTCTGTGGAATATTTGGGTTACCACTTGTCCCTGGCCAGCCTTACCATGTCTTCAGAGAAGGTCAAAGCTATCTGTGACTGGCCTGAGCCCCAGAAGGTAAAGGACATTCAGTCCTTCCTGGGCTTCATCAACTTCTATCACTGGTTCATTTTTAACTACTCAGACATAGTGGGGGTGACATGCAAAGGTGCTCCCTGGAACTTCTCTGAGGAGTGCTGCTAGTCTTTCAATAAACTCAAGCAGGCCTTCACTACTGCCCCAGACCTAACTCATTTCTCCCCAGATGCTCCTATTACTGTCAAGACTGATGCATCTGATTATGCCATAGCCAGTATTCAGTCCATCACCAGTGGTGATGGTCAAATCCAGCCAGTCACATTCTACTCTCATACCCTGACAGCCCTGGAGTTAAATTATGACACCCATGATAAGGAACTACTCATGAACAATTAGCCACCTCCCTGCATGCCTCCTACCTTGAGTACCCAATCCTATGTGCTGTTGCACTGATGGACATGGAGAAACTTCATAATGATATCCTCTCAGCTCTACCCTCAGACCCAGTCACCAAAGTCCAGTTTTCAGATACATCAGATTCCTGGTGGTCAGTTGATGACACCAGCTTCCTCCACCTAGATGGAAGAATCTATGTGCCAGACTCTAATGACCTTTGCCTTCATGTCTTGAGGTTCAAACATGATCACCCCTTGTCTGGCCACTTTGGCCAAAATAGAACCTTAGAACTCATCTGGCATGAATACACCTGGCCCAGCCTAAGGACATTTGTCAAAGACTATGTCTGGTCTTGTACTACCTGTGCCCAGGCCAAGGTACTCTGCCACCAGCCTTACAGCCTGCTCAAGCAGCTCCCCATGCCAGAGAAGCCATGGAATTCCATCTTGATGGATTTCATAGAGCAATTCCCAGCCTCAACAGGCTTTACTGCCATCCTCATCATGGTTGACCAGGTTTCAAAGCAAGCCATCTTCATACCTACTCATGACACCATCACAGCCCCTGAGCTTGCTAAACTCTTCCTGATGCACATATTCTCCAAGCATGGTGTACTGGCCCATGTAACCTCAGACTGGGGATCAGAGTTCATATCCCACTTCTTCTGGTCTTTTGGTAAGGCTCTAGACATGCCACTACACTTCACCTCTGGGTACCACCCAGAGAGGGATGGTCAGACAGAGTGCACCAACCAGACCCTCAAACAATATCTTTGGGCCTACTGTAACTACCAACAGGATAACTGGGCCAAGTTACTACTATTGGCTGAATTTGCCTACAATGCACCCAGTGCTACAACCAGGGTATCACCCTTCTTCACTAATAAGGGTTATCACCCTAATATCTTGGTCTTCCCTGAGCAGGATCTCACATCCAACTGGGCTCATGATTACACAGTTGACTTAGATTCAACCTTCATGAAGAAATGGCTCTTGCCCAGCAACACTACCAAGGACTGGCAGATGCTAAGCACATGCTGGCGTGCCTGTGTAAAAGCCAAGTATTTCCAGTCAACCCAGCCCTCCAAGGAGTTGGGCAAGAAGAGCCTTGGGCCTTACCCCATAATAGCCCAGGCTGGCTCTCACTCATTTACCCTGCATTTACCAGACTCCATGCACACTGTACACCTGGTCTTCCACATATCCCAACTTGAACTGGCCATCCCAAATACCATACCCAACTTAGAATTTGAAGTAGCAGAGATACTTGATTCAAAGGTTGACCAGTGCAGAAAGTGTTGGTTGCAGTACCTGGTCCAGTGGACTGGTTACAAGGGAACTGATGAAGATACCACCTGGGTACTAGCAACAGAGTATATCATGACTGGTACCCAGACAAACCTAGTCCTTTCAAGAAATAGTCAAGAACTGGTCTCAAGCTTTTCTCCCTATCTGTTTCCCCTATCTTGTAGTTACCATGTCTTGATTTCCCTTACTTTTCTTTATTTGCTTTCTTTCATACTTCAGAACTGGAACCAGGCAGTGGCATTCACAAAATGTACAGAAAAAAACAACACTATTCTATGAGCATGACATCAGACTTGGGACCCAGCAGAACTGGCACCAGTCTGATCACCTGACTCAGACTGGGACCAGCTTTCCTCTTCTTCCTCCCCCAGCCCTGCCAGCTCTCTGTAAAGCCCTTCAACATCCATGTCCTCCTCATTGGCAGTGTCCCAGTCTGAAGGCATGTACCAGCACCAGGTATTCAACAGTGTTCTTTGATGTAGGTCTTGTAGGACCAGGGCAAACTGGTGAAAATTCCTCAAGACCTCCCTTTGGGCCACTGCTAGGCTAACCACATTGTCAGCCATGTGCTCCACCACCTTGATCAGGCACTCCATCTGGTCACTGGTGACAGGACTGGCCCCAGCCTCAGCACTGGTCTTCTTTGTTGAAGGCCCCTCCTCCATGTTGTCCTCTTTGTCACCTGCACCCTCGAGTACCTTAGCAGATGGGTACCATGACCTCTTCTTCTTCTCACCAGTGTGAGGGGATGACATGTCAGCATTCCTCTTACCCTTGTAAACACCTGGGCCAGCTCTCTGACCAGTCTCACCCTTGACCAGCCACTGGCAATGCTCCTTGAGCTCATTGCACCAGTTACAAGCCATGCACTTTTTCTTGCTGTCAGTGCTGTGCACACAGGTCATGTTGGTCCAGGTGCATCAAAGGCAGCTGGTAGAGTGTCAGTCAAGAGCACCAGTGATGACCATAATAAGACTTACTGAGGGTTCATCACCTCAATGTTGGAACCAGCCCCAGTTGAGCTACCCACTAGGGCATCTGCCCTCTGGCTCTGCTCTGCTTTCCTGGCCTCTTCAGCCCTGTGTGCAGCCTCTAGCTTCTGTGCCTCAGCCTCTGTGCACACCCTTTCTTCCTCAAGCCAGGCTTTCTCTTGCCTTTCAGCCTCCAACTGGGCTTCTTCCTGCACCTTCGCCTTGCACCTCTTATGCTCAGCCAACTTCCCCCAGATAGCCTGCTCATCATTGTTGCTGCCTACCTGCAGCTTGACACTTGTTGCCTGGATCAGGTTGGGCAAGAGGTCTTGACTGTAAGGTGTTCTGGACTGGAAAATGGACATGTCAAGGTGAGGAACCAAGCCTGAGGTGGGCTGGTCTTAAGTCCACTTGTTTTCAAGGTCAGACACAAAAGTTTTGTTCTCAGCATTGTCCTGATTGGAGCCTCATGTACTTGGCTCCAAGAGGGGGATACTGTCATGACCATGCCTAGACCACCCTAGACTGGCTCTACCCTGGTCTTGACTGGTCCCATCCAACCCTTGCCCCATTCCCAGCCTTAACACTTCAACCCAGAAATGTGTTAGCTTCATGAGGCACTGCAAGGCAGTGCCCAATCAAGTTGTTTGCTCAGTTGGTACTGGGCCAGTGTAACACCCAACCCAGCCACAGGTCCTGCCCTGGTCCCTGGTAATCCTTTGTTCATAGTCTTGCTTGATAATATTCTTTGTAACATTACTTACCAATCAGTTTACCAACCATTGCTGTACCAGCTGCAAACTGGTCTCCAGTGCTATGTTACACTTAGGTTACCTCTAGTATTCAAGCTGTAGGATAATCTGTTTAGCCTCAGTCTGAAATCAACTTAGTCTTGTCTTAACCCAGTTCCTCTGATCTCTGTCCCCTGTTCACTTGACCAGACTACAGCCCATGCAGGGGAATAGTGCTGTGCCATCAGTTGCTAAGTCCAACAGTCCAACCCCCTTAGTATCTTGCATTATCCTCTGACCGTCTGGCTGGACTCCAGACCAGCTTTGGACCAGTGAAGACCTGGACTTAACACTTATGTCACAACCACATGGGATGAGAGAAGACTTGGTGTATTTCTGCACATAATGCACAGGGTGATGGCGATGCAGGGTATAAAACAAAAGGGGATCTACATATGGTGCGATTGTCTACTCTACTCCCAGCTTCACCAGGGCCTCTGACAGCTGCTCAACACAGACCTGAAGATGAAGGTTGGCTACATGTGCAGCCACAGCCTCATCCCTGACCATCCCAAGGGCCTGTGAGATATCCATGGTGGTCTTGCCATTGAATCTGCCACACACTGGCTCCTTGCCCTTCCCACAGGTCTTGCCCTTGACCACTTCCACAATGTCATCACTATCATCATTGTGAGCCCACTTGGACAGACTGGCCTTGGGGGCCTTAGTAGCACATGCTGCACCAGGTTAGCCTCAAATGTGTTGGGACACCTTTGCTACTTACCAACCAATGCACTGGTCTGCACTTTCCTGCCCCCTGCCTTGCTTGACTCCTTGCAGCCTTGCTTCATCTTCATGCATCCATTGCACATCTTGCCACTTGGCCTGATGCATGGCATTCCTTTGATGGTGCACCATGTGCAGGGCACTGCATGCAGTACCAACCCTGGGGGGATGGATACCTGGGGCCTCCCATCATTGTTGCTCTCAGCAATCATCTGTTAAGATCACTGTGTGGTCACAGTGTTAATAACATTACACTGCACAAGTGCAGGTACTTACCTTGTGAGCTGGCTGTGGGACCTCCTCATGGGACATCTTGACTGCTGCACCTTCATCACTGACCTCCACTGTAGTCTCCTCCTCCATCTGAACATCCTGCTCAGCCTATGCATGTTCCTTGGCTTCCTCTGCAGTCCACTTTTCATACAGGTTGTCCACCTCTGCCAGTGTGGGAGTGTCCTCTGCATTAACCTGAACAGAGACCCTGAGCATCTTCCCTCACTTGACCAAGGGCATCAATACCACCTGCAGCACACTCATCAATATTGTATGAACACATCACCAAGCAGAGCACTTACCATCCTCTCCTCCCAGTGCCTTAGCCAGGTCATCTTCTCCTCCCACATATCCTCCTGGTTGTCAGGCACACATCATGCCTCTGCAATGAGCCCCACCAACACAGCTGCAAGCTGCTGTTTGACACTACCTCTGGGTAGTGTGCAATTAGGGGGAAAGCTGTAGGGTAATCCCTAGGCTTGACTCAAGGGGTGCTGAGTAGGAAGGAGACATAAAATATGATGGTAGAGTCAATCAGAAAGTTGAATGTAGGGTGCAGAATTTAATTCTGCAGTGCTGTAGACAATTTGGGTCTGAATAGACTTATTTATGAAATTCTGAGTGATGATCTTGGCACAAGGAAGTAATTCCAAGACTTGTGAGACATGAAGGTGAGACACAGATATGCAGGGGATGCCAAAGACACAGTAGACACAGATTGACACTAGAAACACAGATGACACAGTAGACACAGAGGATGCAGCAGACACTTTGAACACTTAGACACATGAATGACTCAGATAGTGACTCCAAAAGATGGGTCCTATTTTTCTGTTACTGAGGCAGAATTATATAGTACATGGAGAGTAAGGTACTGATTGGGATAATGTGGGGCAGGTGAAGTAAAACTTCCAAAAAATAAAGGGAGACATGACAGATGTCAACACACTACAGAATCTGTTAAGATAACCACAAACTGAGGCCACTGGTGCCCAGTGTAAGAGACTATTATTGAGTAAAGTAATACAGAACTGTACCTGGTGCCCAGTGTAAGAGACTGAAGAAAAATTTCACTGGGCACAGAGCAGTAAGTGCGCAAAAATGATAAACAAATGTAAATAATAAATAAAAGCAAACCAAGGACACTTAGAGTGAAGCTAAGTGTCCACTACATGTCTGTAGGGTTAGACAGAGATAAAATAAAGGGAAAATGTGGTCTGAGGTGCACAGGCACCTAATATGAACACTCCCCCCTGAATGTGCACCTCTGCGCTTAACTGCTCCCCCCTGATGTGCCAAGTCCTAGCATCTTGCAGAAACCGATGACCTTGGTGCGATGTAGCGGTTTGGTGAGAAGATCTGCAGCCTGGTCGACTGTAGGGACAAAAATAGGCGAAATCAGGTTCTGCTGAACTGCATCTCTTAGCCAGTAGTAGCAGAGGTCAAGTTGCTTCATCCTCCCATGATGTTCTGGGTTTTTGGCCACAGAAATCGCAGATTGGTTGTCAATGCGAAGGGTAGAAGCATCTGGGAGAGGGAGGCCAACTTCCTGCAACAGATTTCGCATCCATTTGATCTCCTTTCCTGCCTGGACTGCAGAAATATACTCTGCTTCAGTGGTGAACAAAGCGACCACTCCCTGAAGCTTGGAAGACCAGGATACTGGACCAGTACCCATCTTGACCACATATCCACCAGTGGAGTGACCAGAATCCTTGCAACCACCATGATCAGCATCAGAGAAGGTTGTAAATAGCTCAGAGGTCGAAGGATCAGGAGCATAAGTGATGGAATAGTCCAGAGTGCCCTTCAGATAGCACATCAGGTGTTTTACAGCTTGCCAGTGAGCCCAGCCTGGGTTAGAGTTGAATCTGGCCAGAACTCCGACAGTATAGGCTATATCTGGTCGAGTTGTGGTGGCCAAGTACATCAGAGCACCCACAGCAGATAGATAGGGCACCTGGTGCATTTGTTCGACTTCCTGAGGGTTCTGAGGTGATTGCTGGCGAGATAGGCGAAGATTGGGTTCCATAGGTGTGGAAATGGGCTTACAGTCTGCCATTCCAAACCTAGTCAAGACATCCAGGCAGTATTGTCACTGGGAGATGGATATGGAGCGATTGGGGCAATCTCTGTCGATTTTGATCCCCAGCAGTTGAGTTGTAGGGCCCAGATCGCAGATTTTGAAGTGCTGGCTCAGTTGTGAGACAAAGGAGTCGATGGCAGTCTCTGATTTCGATGCTAGAGTCATATCATCCACAAACACAGGCAGAATGATGGTTACTGCATCCTTGGAGTAGATATAGATGCTAGCATCAGAATAGGTCTGTCTGAAGCCAAGGGACTTGAGTACAGTGCGCATCTTCTTGTTCCAGCGATTTCCACCCTGTTTGCTGCCATAGATCGCTTTTTGCAGCAGACACACCTGGGATTTTGGGTCTCCCTCCACAAATCCTTCTGGTTGCGTCATGTAGACCTAACAGTCCATCTCCCCATTGAGGTAGGCATGAGAGACATCCACAGAGCGAAGGTGAAGGTCCTGGAGAGCTGCAAGAGCCAGGATGACTCTAATCGATGAAAGGCGAGCTGTTGGAGCAAAAACTTCGAGATAATCAAATCCAGGGCGCTGGTTATACCCTTTGGCAACCAATCGAGCTTTGTAGCGATCTATAGAGCCATCTGCATTTCTCTTCACCTTGAATACCCATTTGGAGCCTATCACCTTGCTCCCAGCAGGTCTAGGGACGAGTTTCCAAGTCCCATTGCTCTGGTGAGCAGCTAACTCCTCCAGGGCTGCCTCTCTCCACTTATCTGCATCAGGGCGATGCATTGCCTCTGCAAATGTGAGTGGCTCATCAGGGATGGATGCAGACATGGCCAGTTCATCATCACTGTCATCTGGGTCATCCACATCCTCTAATTGCGCAGGAGAGAGCTTCCACCAGTCTCTGGGCTTCTGTCTGTGCCTAGCTGGCAGTCTGGCACCAATTCCAATGGGACTGGCAGGTCTAGGAGGTGGTGGAGGCAAGGGAGTGTGAGGAGGAGGAGGTATGACTTCTGGAATTGCGACAGGAGGCTGTATGGGGTCTGGATTAGCTGCCACAGGCTCAATCTCTCCCCCCTGATCCAGATCATCATCAGTTTCGCTATCAGTGTCCAGATCTGTGCTTGGATGGTAGTATTGCGCTGTAGGGGGTGGAATGGAGGGTATAGGAGCAACTGGCGCATTTTCGGTAGGTTTGGAAGCAAGAGGCACAGGTAGGGTAGGTGAGGAAGGGCGAGTGGACAGAGGGAAGTACCTTTTGTCGAAATCAGCCCTTTCTGAGATGATTGTGCGCTTTGTGGTGGGATTGTAGAATTTCCAGCCTTTGTAGCCTTCAGGGTACCCTATAAACACACATTTCTCCATGTGGGACTCCAGAGGGCGCCTCTTGTCCTTCTGGATATGCACATAGGCAGTACACCCCCAAACTCGAAGGTGGGAGACATCTGGCTTTCTCCCATGCCACAGTTCAAAGGGAGTTGCATTTTGGACCGCTTCAGTAGGGCATCTGTTCCAAACATGCACCAAGGAGGCTAGGCACTCTCCCCAGAAGGCCTTAGGAAGGCCAGACTCATCTAGCATTGCAGTGAGTCACTCAGAGAGCAGTCTATTGGCTCGCTCTGCCACTCCATTTTGCTGTGGTCGATTTCTGACTGTGTGCTGGCGCAGAATTCCGCATTTGGTGGTGAAATCGATGAAGGCGTTGCTCATAAACTCCCCTCCCTTGTCATCGTGCAAAATCTTGATTTTTCTTTCGCTCTGGTTCTCAGCAAAGGCTTGAAGGTCTTGAAGGCCTCAAAGACCTCAGATTTCGCTTTCAAAGGCAAAACAAAGCGAAAGCGAGAGAAATCATCGATGAAGGTGACCCAATACTTGTAGCCAGTGAAGGAGGGGTGGCCTACATAGTGCACATCGCTGTGGATGAGTTCTAGGGGCCGAGAAGCACGCCAGGAAGAGCTGGGAAAGGGATTTGCATGCATCTTGCCAGCCAGGCAAGGTTCACAGATAGGATCAGGCACTGTGTTGGAGTCTAGTGTCATCCCAGTGACTAGATTTTGCTCCAGGAGGGACTTCACACCAGCCAGGTGGTGATGGGCGAGTCTCCTGTGCCATAGGTCGAAATCCAGAGGCAAAGTGGTTGCTGCAGAGGCATATTCACTGAGGGGAACAGTCTCACCCTCCAGGAATGCGGAGTTGTTGTCCAAAATTCTTGCAATGAAGAGGGTAGGGCCAGGGCACTGCCTGAAGGACATCTGCGAAGAATCGATGCTGACAGTGAAGCCCTTGTTGTGACAGAGATATATCACAGATAGTAGATTATTTTGCAGGTCAGGGACATGTAGGACATTGGTAAATTTGACAGGACAACGTTTCTGACCCCCCACTACAGGCTCAAACACTACTGACCCCACCCCAGCTGAGTAGACAATTTTGTTGTCTGCTAGGCGCACTGGAACGCATTTTTGGCTGTAATTTCACAGCCAGTGTCGATGAGGTGTCATATGAGAAGTGGCACCTGTATCTGCATTCCAATGCACATCAGCATCGAGCTGGAGGGGGCAGAGAGGAGAGGAGGGGTCAAGGGAACGAAAACTTGCATTTCCAGCGAATTCTACTGCTTGGGATGCGCTCTGGTTCGATGAGGAGGCTGTTGGTACTGTCCCAGTTGATGGGGAGGAAGCAGACGAGGTAGAGGCTTGATTTGCGGTATTGGCACCCTTCCTGTCCTTCTTATTCTTCCTAGAGCGATAATAAGCCTTTGATCTTTCCAGGTTTGGACACTTGTGGACACAGTGGCCTGAATAATCGCAGAACTTGCAAGGTGACGAAGGTGAGCACTTGCAAATTGTGGAGGAGCTCAATAGTGCAGTCGCCAATGTCCCTGCATCAGGGCGGCACTTGCGCTGCGATTCTTCAGCCAGAAATGCTTCTTTGAGTTTGTCCTTGTCCAGAGATTGGAAGAGAAGGAGAGAAGAAGCAAAATGAGAGTAATCTTCACCTAGAGAGCGCACCATAGCCATACAGACAAGTTCATTGTCCATATCCTTGATGGAGTATGGAGTAGTAGAGTCCTTGGGGCGCAATTCTTGAATTCTGGACATGGAATCTTCGATTCTAGCGATTAAGGAAGACAGGGACTCATCTGGGGCCTTCCTGATCGAAAAGAAGTCATCCCAAGCATTAAAACGAGCTCCAGGGTGCTGCTGGAGGTGGATGGAGGCTAGAGTCGACCAGATTTGGACAGGGTCATCCTGTACAGCATCTACATGGGTCCTCTGTTCACTAGAAAGCGCTAGGTATAGCTCCCCAGCTGCCCTGTCCGCTCTAAGGTCCCATTTGGCCTGAGCCTCAACTTTGGAGTCATCAGGGCACTTTTCCAGACCACTGACAATGGTCCAGAGCCCTTTTGTGTGCAGGAAAGCCTTCATTTCGCCTTTCCAGGTCGAGTAGTTGGAGGCAGTGAGTTTTGCGACAGAGGGCGATGAGTTGGCATGGTCCTCAGCCATGGTGGTGAATTTCGAGTTGAAAGGAGAAGGATGGGGTGGATGGGGTGAGTCTGGAAGCTGGGAGCTCAAAGAAGGAGCTGTAGCGAGTGAGTGTGTGGTTCTTTTGGGTCGAGGTTTTGCGCAGAGGTGGATTACGAGGCAACCAATGAGTGCTGAGAATCCTAGAGTGCAGGGCTCATAACCTGTTAAGATAACCACAAACTGAGGCCACTGGTGCCCAGTGTAAGAGACTATTATTGAGTAAAGTAATACAGAACTGTACCTGGTGCCCAGTGTAAGAGACTGAAGAAAAATTTCACTGGGCACAGAGCAGTAAGTGCGCAAAAATGATAAACAAATGTAAATAATAAATAAAAGCAAACCAAGGACACTTAGAGCGAAGCTAAGTGTCCACTACATGTCTGTAGGGTTAGACAGAGATAAAATAAAGGGAAAATGCGGTCTGAGGTGCACAGGCACCTAATATGAACAGAATCATGTGAAAACAAACTGAAAAGCAGTAACCAAGAGAAACAAAAGGGAAAGATGGGTATCTTTCAACAGAAAAAGCATACCACATACTGTAGAGTAGTGTACACAAAGGATAGAGGCCATAGATGCAAAGGGGTTCTCACATTGTGGAGAAAGATTTGTGGGAAAGAAATGAGAGGGGTAACCAGAGTTTATTACTGATGATCTGTGTGATTTCCTGGCCACATGGTGAGGTGAAGGATGAGGTGACATGACTGTGGAATTCCAGATGGATGTATGTCAGGTTGATGTTGACATGGAATTCCAGGATGATGACTGGTGTGTGTTATTGATGGACAGGGGAGCCCTGAAGGTTTGATGGGTGAGGTGGCACACAAGGCTGATGCATGAGGCTGATGCAATAATTCTGAAGATGACAGATGTGGAACTCTGATAGGGGTTGACTTTGGTAATGGCATCCCTATTTCAGCCTCAGGGAGTATACCACTCCCTACACCACTCTCATAATGTGACCATGGCACTTGCCGCAGCTCTAGGGTGTGTCTGGGACTTGATTGAGGTGGTGCCACAGCCAGAGGAGAGTTTGGAGACCATCTATGTGTGGGTGGAGGACTGGGACAAGACAAGGGTGAGTAAACCTTCCACAGTAGTGTGTTGTGCTTTGATGGAGTTCTGTAGGCCAGCATTTGGTCATGGTGGAGATACATCAATGACAATGGAATTTCTGTACCAAAGGTTCACAACAAGTGCATGTGTGACTACACTGAGGAATCTGTGATGTGCCAAAACTTTCTAGTCCTGGGTGCCATTGCCATTGCTGACCTCTGGCACCCAGTGGAGCAGAGACAGATCCACATCAGTGACATCTTCAAAGACTACCAGGAGAGGGTAGAGTTGAGGGTGCTGTTACATTTCACCCTTGTTTTACTCTTTTTCTCCTTACATTTACCTTGTGACTTGATCCATCAGACTGCTGTTCCTTTTCAAGCTGTCTTCTCATTGATCCAACAGCTCCTTGTTTCCACCACTAGTGTTATCCTCTCATTACATGCATAGAACATGTGTCACCATTGCTCAACCAATGGCATAACTACCTCATTACATGCAGATGCCTTATGGTCCACTTCTTGTACAGTATTTAGTCTGTTGGCTCAAGTCCTGGAAGACCCAGACTTGAGCTGCTCAATCATATGCAGTGTTCTCAGAACTTTGCCCTCAGTGTCCCTAATCAGGACCACTCTTACCAGTGTTGTCCCAAATCTCTGTCATTTACAGAGGTTACTGCAGCCATTTGCTCAGTAGAAACTATAGTCTGCATTTGAGCTCTCCCTACATCTTGACTATGGTCAAGCATAACAGGTGCAGCTCAAGGCAGAGAGGTTGACAAGAGAACCTTCTATGTGCTGTAAGTAACTGTGTTCTGATGGCCAAGAATTCCAACTCCAGAAGAGGTAGGCTCTGTTCAAGCCAGGTTGACCCTGAAGGGGCTTTGGTCTGGAGACAGGATAAGTACTTTAGATGAACAAAGGGGAACTTGCCCAAGAGGAAATTTTTCTAGATTGTAAAGGAGAACTTGATGAAAAAAAAAGAGTGAAAGTGGTGATTTTTCCTCTCCAAAGAAAGACACAGAGAAGGCAGTGATGCCTCATACAGTATTCTTGTCTGTGCTGTACTGTAGTTTTTAAGTGACATGGCACACACTGTGACCACCTGCATGCTTAGTCAGCTCTCTATTTTTCGAACACCAAGTCCTTTTCAGCCACAACCCCTAAGCCTGAATCCTCCTTGACTCTCTCTTACACTCTTCACCCTCAAACCTTCCCTTTAACCCAACAGAAGTGCAACTTCTCATAGGGACAAGGTTTGTGTTCCCTACAGTGCACATGCAGACAGGCAGCAATGGTGATAGGTGAAGGTCAAGGCTGTGCACCCAGCAGCACTGGAGCAGGGGAGACTTTGAGGGGGAAGACTCCAAGCATGATGACTAACATTCAGAAAAACTCTGCAGGCCAAGATGAAGTTGATGGGCTGGAGAATGACAAAGGCAACTGCCCACCTAACCCAGACCCATCAAAAACTGGCACTCCAGCACCCAAAGCCAACCTTCCATGCAGAGAGTGCATGAAGGCAGATGCTGAGTGTGAAGGGCTACCTGGGGAGTTGTATGAGGGATGCAGGCAGGCCAAGTGGAAGTGCAGCTGGTCACTCAGAGTGGGTAGGAAGGTGAGTACAAGCTGATTGTGACATGAAGAACAAGGGCACTGAACTGTAACACAGTGAAAGAATGCTGGTAGTGGAGAGACAGCTGCTGGGCCATCACACAAACAGACCAAGTCAGTAACAGTGACAGTGATGACTGAAATCCAGTGATGACTGGGCTGAAACTTTGAATCCCTGCTCACAAACCACCCCCTAGGCAAAACTCTGAACTGACTCCTGGGCACCCAACACTTCATGCTAGTCCCCCTTTGACCTTGAACATGCCTCCTTCTCCTGCACCTCAACCACCTCTTTTCCTTCCATCAGCAACCCCAGGACCTGTCTGAAGTTCCCCCAGTCAAAGAAACTCTGCCAGTCACAAACCTGGGTGATATGACTATGCACAAGGCTCTTGCTGAGCACATTCAACTTCTGGAGAACAGGGCAGACAATGAAGAGTTCAAGCTGACACAGATCCATCAGATGCTGGGGCTGTTGGCTATGCAAGTAGAGTGGCAGATCAGTGAAGTTCAGGGGTGATGCAAGGAGCTGAAGAGGGTGAAGGATCAGCTCAAGGATATGTAAGTACATGTACAGTAGCATAAACAGACTGCAGAATTGTTTTTGATGTGTCTTTGGGTATTCTGAACAGAATTATCATTAAGTAAGGAGCAGGAAAAGAGAATGAATTGGCAAGAGACAAGAAACAAGAGAGAGATGAGCAGTTTTTTTTTTGTTTGTGAGATGACTGTTTTCTTGTGAGTGGAGACAGTTTTGCTTTATATGAGATGAAGACAGATATATGTATAAGTGGAAAGAAAGATGGAAAAAGAGAGAGAAAAGAAAAGAAACAAAAGGGTAGAGAGAGATATGCTACTCATCTGACTTGTCCACAGGGACACCAGCAAGCATGGGGTCTGGTAGCAAATCATCTTCCAGGCAACTGCATGACTTCAACACGATGTGAGTCAAAGTGTGGTTCAGTGGTGAAAACCAACCAAAACCAATGCAAAAGACAAAAGGAGTGAGTGGTGGTGTGTCTATGTGGCACCTAGATGGTAGAACCTTTGATTTGGGTGGGTTTTTGTGAGCTACAACACTCAAAGATGAGTGCTGAGGGTTGGGGGTGCTCCTGATGAAGAGGGAGCAAGAATGCGATAGAAAGTGATAAGGGTAGACTGCTGTCAGCCTACAGAAGGATGGATGGATGACTTAATTCAATGTCCTAAGCTGCACTGAGCTCAGGGAGGGCTTGGAGCAAAGTATATTGATGATAGACAAGGATAAGTGAAATAAATGATAGTTAGACCCTTAATAAAGTCTCAACTATTGAAGCTGCTGAATGAATTACTTAGTGATGATAAAATGTGAGCAAGAGGGGCTCTCTGACATCTTCTTTTTTTTGCTATCTAAGTATAGTGACATATATACAGTACAGGGGTGTTGCCTATGGAAAACAAGGTGCAAACACTTGGTAAGTGATTGGTAACTGTTGAGTAAGGAATGTAAGCAATGGGTAATCATCTTGGAAAGCATTGGAAAGCATTGGTAAGGATTAGCAAGCCAAAAGGCAAAGGATCAGTAAGCAAAGTCAAAAGATTGGCAAGTATTGGCAATAGGTGAGTCAAAGACAGTCAAAACATCAAAGTATAAGTCAAGTAATGTCAGGAACTTGGAAAGCACACTGGAATCACATTAGGGGGAGGCTGTGCATGTCACATCTCAAAGAGATTGCTTCTAGGCCAAGGTGGGATGACAGAGAGGCAGTGCTGATCTGATGCTGATACAGTACATCCAAAAGTGGACAGGGTGAGTCAGATGTCAACAGGGGTCAAGCTTTGGAGGTCTGTGGGGTGACAGGAGCATAGGGGATTGCAACTTTCCCCCCCAAACCATCCTCTCAGTGAAGCAAACAAAAACATCATGAATGAGGCTCTCTGTTGGAAGAGAGGATGAAGGAGGAGTGTCTTCTGCTGTATCTTGCAACAAGGAGGCAAGATGCGCATCATACTCATCATGGATGTGATCAGGGAGAACAGTAGATTATACTGTAGCTGTCACAATCTTGGAAGAATGATGGATGAGACTGGTATGAAGACATTGCAGGGAGCAGGGAGGAAGGATCCATATGCTTCTTGGACTGGAGAGACTGAAATGACCACATAAGACCTTTCCAAGCAAATGACAGACCTGAGGCAACCAAAGAACATCCTCCTAGAGGTCATACTGACAAAAAGAACATGCTGTCCAAGCTGGATGGGCTGAGAGGGCACTGACAAGGGTGGGATGTATCAGGATGCTTCAGGATGGAAGCTGGTAGGAACTCCTGGTAGATATATGTAGCCATGGTCCCTAGCAAAGGGGACAAGTGAAATGATTGACATGGAGGTGGCCATATCAGAAGAATTAGTGAAATGAGTGTCTTTTGGAGGGAGTGCTGTAGAAACATGTGGAGTGTGCAAATCCTTTCCAATTTTGGAAGGTAGGATCACATGGCTGAGCACTACAAGTGAGTGTGGGAATGGTCTTTGTATCTGCAGAGACAGCAGAGATATGTCAAAAACTGGAATGCTGTAAATTTTAACCAGTGCTTAACTTGCTCCCTTTCTTTTTCTTTGGCACTGATGACCCGTTCTTGTGCAAGGGATGACTGCTGACACTTCTGGCTATTTGCAGGAGGGCTATGGTCTTCATCTCCATTCATCAGCTGTATCCATGTCCACCTCACCAAACACCTTTGGTGTGTGACAATGAGAGGTGTTCTGCAGGAAATAGGGGTAGAGATGGAAGGTGGCAAAACAGAATTTGGACATGGCACCATCTAATTCCACCAGGATGTACAAGCCTCCTTTGGTGTGATGTACAATGATCATCAGGCCTAGGTACTGCAGTTTGGTCTTGTGATCAAGCTCTTGCTCAATATGTGAATTCTGCACAAGGATGAGTGACCCTGGTTCAAAGTTGAAGTCTTCAATTGTACATTCAAAGTGAGTGATGAAATCTTTGATGGAGGCAAAGTGGGATTTAAGCACTAGATTGTGAATGCAGGTGAGGTCTTCTGGATGTTTCTGAAGTTGATGAGCATGGTGAGCAATGAATTCTGTCATTGAGAAAAATTCTGCTCTGAAAGGGGCTAAGAATGTCACCTTGGCAAGGTCAAAAGGGAGTCTAGGTTTGACACTGAGCCATGTAGAACAGAGAAAACCCAGTTGCCTTGTGAATCATAACCCTCTCTGCCCAGAATACTGCAGGAGTAACTTCTGACCACTTTGACACCTCTCCTCCACAACCTTTCACCAATGCCTCCCTCACATTGAAATGCTGTCACTCAACAACTCCATTAGCTTGTGAGTTATAGGGGGAGATACATATGTGGCCAATTCTGAAGGTCTTGGAAAGCCAGTCAAGGGCAAGGACATAGGGTATGCCATTATCTGTAACAATCTCCATGACTGCACCCCAGTGTCACAAGATTTGTTCAAAGATGAATTTTCTGATGGATTTTCCAGTTTCTGTGTGAAGCATAGCCCACTCTGGATAGCTTGTGAGCAAACAGCAAGCTTGGGTGACACAGCAAAACCTGTTTTACTTCAGCATTAAGAACTTGTCCATGTATGCTTTGTAGAATAGGGGTTCTGGAATGGCAATGACTTGCAGAATATGTATGCAATCCAAACAGCAGATTTGGCATTTGTGACATGACTTGACATACCAGCAGATGTCCTGCTCCAACATAGGCCACCAGAAATGAGTCAGCAAATGCATGCAGGTTGAGAAGATACCCTTGTGCCCTAGCTCATCATGAGCCTGATGAAGAATTCCAAGGCATTTGTGTGGGGCAACTACTAGTTGGTGACATCCTTGAGGCTCTTTTCTCCACAGTTCTCCTCCTTTAACAACATACTGCATGGCAAGACATACTAGGCTCTTGCAGGGTAATGTTTTTCATCTTCCCCCTCCTGCATGAGGAGGTATCCTACAGCAATATTTGAAGTGTCAACTGCTAGAATGACCTTCCTTTTGAAATTATAGTATGTGGCATGGGGGATGAGACAATAGCCTGGCAAAGATATTCCATGGCTTCTCTGTGTTTATTGCAGAATTTGAAGGGGATGTCTTTCTTGGTCAGCTCAATGAGGGGACATGCATGTTTAGCAAAGTCTTGGATAAAGATCCTGCAATATGAGCAAAGACCCAAAAATCTGCACACTTCAGTAATGTTTGTGCAGTAGGGCCAGTCTTTAATCTTTTGGACTTTAGCTTCATCTGGAATTCTCCCATCAAATGACACCTTATGCCCAACCACTATGATAGATGGTGCAG